CACAAGTCACATTACAACATAAAACTAAAAAAATCACATTGATATCCCTGAATATGTAATTCATAAAAAAACTGATAATTTTTATTAACTCACCCTGTATACCAAAGAACAAGTCGAAAATATAGAATAAAACTTTTCCATATGATGCTTTATTTTCGACAAAGTGGAGTTTGAAATTTTGACAAGTATATTTGGCCAATTCCGGATTAGACAGGAGTAAATAATCGGCAAAGTTAGGGGAAATTATTCTACATACGAAAATGTACAATAAAAGCCGTTGACAAGGTGCTCTATTTGAATGTAAATGGCAAAATCTTATTTTAGCGCGTAAACCACCTCCTATACGGAATACACTGTATACATATACAGGGTGGTTGGTAAAGGGTGGTACAAGCGGAAAGGGGGTGATTCTACGCGAAAAAAGAAGTCGAAAATACAGAATAAAATTTTTTTTTTAATTTTTTTAAAAACCTACAGTGAGATCCGTTATAACGAGACGCGATAAAGTGCGCGCGTACCGAGCGAAAATTCAAAGTCGATTTTCTCGAAAACAAAGCCTCGAACGAAAAATTTTTATTTTATATTTTCGACTTCTTTTTTCGCGTAGAATCACCCCCGTTTCCGCTTGTACCACCAGTTACCAACCACCCTGTATATGTACGAATGTATGTATGTATGCGTGTACGCATATATGCACGCTAGAGGTTATCTCGTCCTCGGCGAAAAATATTGTTTAGCATAAATTTCGCAAGGAATGGTGTGCATCTTTGGACTCGGTACGTTTTTACAAAAGAGAATACATTGGTAAGGCGCGTGCGCGCGCGTATTTACACAAATCTCGTGTGTTTCTTAGCACGTGCGTGTGTGAATGAGCGAGTATAATGTTTATTATAATGGTGTTATGTACATTATACCACGTTGCTCGTTAGGCACGTATGCACGGTATGAGGAAACGGAACGGTTGTACGCCGCGCCGTAGAAACTATGTACAGCTCCGGCGAGGTCGAAAAAATGCCCGGTGGCTATCTGCAGCGTTTACCCCATACCTATGGGGGATTTCTGTACAATGTGGTTGCTGGCGTCGCGGCGGCCAGTGTTCACCGATACGACCAGGATACCGGTATAATTAAGAAATTTATCTCGCCGGTTGGAAATAAGAAGGCGACTGTGTAACTCGCGCCTTCATTGCAATTAACATCTGACGGTTTTAGTTGTTTTTACAGCGAAAAGGACGGCGTACGAACGAATTAGTCAAGTTCGAATATATCTGACAAATTTTCAAACTCGATTTTCTTGAAATAGACGCCTTTCGATTGAACAAAATGTATTTTATATTTTCGATTTGTTTTTTCAAGTAGAATCACCCTCTCCGCGTTATCGATACCCAGACACGCTGTATCTGACGACATGAGAAAAGCAAAAAGAAATATCTTGATGATAAAAATTAATTATTCTGGAAATCGTTAATTCCAAATTGGTCGAAGGGTTGATCTATTCTCTTCTCGTTGCCGTAACACGTCGTTGCTTTTTCTTAATAACGGCAGTCTTTTGTTTCTGTTCGATGTATCCGGCACATTAAAGACCAAATTGAAATAATTAAAACGCGCTAGTTGGCCGATGGTTAAAAGTAATAATAATTAAAATGAAACGGTAGTGCGCGAAGAGGAACGTAATATGTACGGAGCGCGAATTCGCGTGTAATCCATCATTCTTGCATTCCGTATTCCACGTAGACGGCGTACGTGCTGAGGGAAAGACTCGTTTCGTCGGAGGAATGCGCGGCATTATAATGAGAACGCGGCAAGACGGCGATGCAACTCCGCGACTCGATTATTTCGTTTAATTACAGGGAACATTAGACAAGTCACATCCGTGGCGTTACATGCTCCTCTGAGTTCTGAAAAAAGTATCCCGACTCTATTGTACGCCCGTTGCAATAACCACATAATTATTTATATCTCCCATAATTATTCGAACTTGCATTCAACGGAGACTTTGTATTATACTCTGATTGTGTTATAAAAGTAAATAAATGGTCTCGTGCTATCGTTAGCACGCGTGACTGTTACATTCTAATCGATACTATTTTTATCATATGTCGATTATAATTTTTCGTATCTTACATGTAAATTGCGAAAGCATTGTTCGTAGACATCTGAATATTACTGATATCAACGAATTGAAAGTTACAGGTTGTAGATTACGTGCTAATGTATTTATTAATAGTAGAAATTTGCGATTTTACATAATTTGTAGAATTTCGCTAGTAATATAAATTTAATTGCAAAAAAGAGGTTCAGATTACTTTGGCACTCGCGCTGCTGTACATATCTGCTTTGTCATCGCATCCTGTATAATGAGTCTTTTAAAAATACTTGGCAGCCGGAAACATATATTTTAATGTGAAGTAATCGAAGAAGGAAATAAGCCTTTTTTTATATACGTAAATGATAAATCTACGCAATTCTTTTTTTGCGAGAAACAAGTAATATCATTAGGTTGTTCGAAAAGTGTCTTCCTTTTACAGACACGTCTTTTACAACGACGCATTTTTACACAAACATGAAACCTAATCTGTCGAACGTTGTGATTTTTATTTTGATAGAACAAAATGGATCATACGTAATTCGATAAAATAATATAAAACGAAAAATATTGTGCATCCATTATTTCCTTATAAAACGGAAGAAACTTTTCGGACGATCTAATAGCTTAGTTACTGTGTTACTGTAACGTTAACTAACGTTAGCGTTATTAATACCTTTCAAATATTCAAAAATATCAAAAACGCACACTCAATTTCAAAATTAGCCGACAATGTATCGAATCTAAAAATTACTTATCCATAAAAATTAGTGAAACTCTCCATGTTCCTCAGCTATTGTCTTCGTCTAGCCGTTCCGAGTGTAAATTTCAGACATAAATACCGATAGTGTTGGTATATTACGTGTACCTCTGTAATTTCGTTTCTTGGTAGTGTCTTCAAACTCCCGTTGTTTCTACCTTAATCTCTGTCAGACTAGTCTATTACACGAGGTTCGTTCGAATTAGAGAGAACAAAAGGAGGAAAAACTAACTGGATTCTCTACGAGCCCAATTAGTGAAAATTTCCAAGTTTATACCAGAAAATACCAGTCGTTCGTTCATTCATAGGCGGAACATGGAGAATATTGTTGCGTACCGGATGACGATGGTCGTAGTGCACAGACGAAGACTTATAAAATAACAGAGGTTACCTCGTCCATGGGTTCGATTAACATTCGTTGCGTATTCGTGGCATCAATATGCTAAACGCGTATTTAAACGTTAAATATGTATCGTAATTAAAATTGAGAATGATTGCTTTAAATCTTTATTTTTTAGTTTATTCGACCTGAGAAACCTAAGGATTTTTCCTTAAGGAATTTTGAACATTTCCTTTTTCCATTCCATCAACATCATTCAAACATCCTCATTCTCATTGTCGATAACGTATTATACATTTTATTTTAACGTTGTTCGATTTAATTTACAATCAACGATCTTCCCATAGTTCTCTATCAAGTTTTTCCACATAAAAATTGTTTTTACAGTTCCTGCTGTCCTTACATAATCCACGAATTGTCCCACGTTAAATTAGCGAACAAGCGAAGCTTGTGAGATGCGCGAATTGCGTAACGCAATTACTCGGGCGAAAGGAGACAGTGATGGTTGCACAACGCGGATGGCGGCAGCCATAAAGGCTCCATTTCAAAAATTCAACGAAAACCGAGTCGAGTGTCGCGTATATTCAAAACGAAAAAAGATTGTTAATCCACGTATCCACCGATCGCGCAAGTAGTTCACAAACATTTACGAATCTTTTGATTGTTGTTTATCGATGACGTATGCCGCGCACAGACTTAATCGTTTGCATATGTCTGTTTTAATATTTATGGGTGTTGCCACTCCAATTCTTTGTTTGCATACGTTTAATAACACTAGAACTACCAAAAGTGGTTAAGATATAAATTACGTAGATTTTTATAGACCGACAACGATATATTTTTAGGATTCCAATGATTTTTTATACAATGTGTGGATATAACGTTGTTTTACTTCGTAAATTACATACACTTTACCGAGATAAAGACTAAAAATGAGAAAGTGTTTACTTTACAAGACTTTCGACAGTTTGAAGTATCGAATCACGTTCTCCGTGTAATTCGAATCTTTTCGTTGCACATGCGTATGGCGAATTGAAAATTACAGCGGTGAGCCAAGATTTTGACAATTTGGATTTAGTCACGTGTTTCAACTTGGCAGGATATCGTACTGTTAGTTTCATAATTAACTCGTACTGTGTCTATGATCATCCGAAAGCGTAAATATTTTACACGTTTGTCAACGAGTAACAGTCTCTAAAGTAATCTGACAAAATTTCATATTAACACCTTCAAATTTGGGATTAAGATCGTCAACGAAAATTTTTCATAAATAATTTTCAAATGTGTTCAAGTACATTGTACACTGCATATTGTACAATACATTATCTACTAATACATTATGATTAATATATAATTACTTTATTATAGTAGAACATATATATATATATGTAGGAATGTTATATTATAAGTTTATAGAAAACAGTATGATAAGTACAATATCGTTGCACTCACGCGAAATGGAATATAATACCGCGTTTCGCGTATTCGTTTCTCACTAATTCTACGTCAGAACAACACGACGAACTTCACACGATCACGATAAATTCAACTCTGATAGCATTTTCCATTATTTTTTTCCCCCTTAACATTTATTCCCTTAACCTTGGTAACGCTCGCAACACTCCTTGACAACATTAACATATCTTGACAACGTTTATAAACAATTACCCCCCACGCCACGTCCTCCCCTGACGTCACACTATCCCACATATATATGTGTTACATGTATAACAAATAATATAAAATAAAATACATGAACCGTAGCGTTACGTTTGAAGTGGGCCGGACATGAAGGGACCGCGTTTACACGGTAAATGTATTTTAAGTTATAGCTTTATTATCTGCCACGATACGTTTTCACGACTCCATAAAGTATAGTCAATCTTTTATAACAATAAACACCAAACGCTATTTTACGAAAATTGGGAATGAACTGATTCACACCGCTCTGATTTCTCGATTCGGTGCGTTCTGTGTTTCAGAGCACATCGATAACCGCGACCTCCGTACGCTTGAAGTTAAAAACTGGCGGTACCGATGCGTAAGCGACAGGTGCTCATAAACAAGCCCTTGTTTGCTAACGTTTGTTTAGTAGAAGTGGTTGACAAACGTTTGTCACGCACGCTCGCCCATTAACATTTCAAAAAGCTCACAAACATTTGCAAGCGTACTACGTGACCACGTTGAATACGCGGCTTTAGTATATAGACGAAACGAAGCACGAGGTGGTCCATTCGGTCTCTCTTCTCTCTCTCTCTCTCTCTCTCTTGCTCCCCTTCCCTCCATTCCCCTCTGTCTCTCTCGATACGGCGTTATTTCCTTACGTAAGCGCTGCACAGTGCACGGGTCGTTGCTTCGTTCTGTATGTCACCGTGTGCCGCGCACGGGAACACTAGTCTGACGGCATTCCATCGTGATTTGCGAACGTTTCGGTAAACGTTCAGCACACCCGTGGTTCGAGTAGTGTTTACGTCTACTCCTCATTGCAGAGAAGGAGAAGAGGTTGACGCCTCGTGACGATAATCGGAATTCCGAAAGGAAACCGAGTACGTGTTGTATCGACCGCGATTTCGTCCGAACTATCTCTCCGACGGATCTTCTACATACTTTTTCGAATGGCACCTAGCTTTTCGTTAGTTAAGATATTCTACTTAACATGTTCTATTTTTTGTTTCTTGTTTTTTTTCAAAATACGATAGGCTTTCAGTTATCCGCTGCCGCGATTTAACCGATCTTTCCTTTAATCGATCAGATTTTTGTCGAGATAAGACAGATACCTTGTTGCACGGATTTGGGCTTTGTTTCCGTTGTTTTTAGGTGAAGGCCATTCGCGAGACTCGCGCGAGCCATAGCGCGTTGCAAATAAACGATCGATAAGTTAGCTCTGTTTTCTTGCACGAGGAGACGTGTAATTTTTAATCGCAGAAATACCAGAGACACACGTTGTTCATGACGATGTTGGAAATTATAGGATGACGAGGCAGTATCTTCTAAGGAGCGATCGTCCGTTTAAAAATTGTATAATGCAACCGATTAATGGTAACTCGAGCGCCGGTGGAAATCGTAGGATATTTAGAAGACGATAGTGGTTATTCGTTATCGTAAAATTATGTGTGTATGTATGAATGTATGTATGTATGTGAACAAGTTCGTTCTTAGATGTCTGTTGCGTCACTCGTTACGCGAATCAGCGTACGTACGCGGTGCTACTGTGCTTTGAAATTCATTCGAATTTCTCGATTCTTCTCTGTATGGTCGTGTTGACTAAGTCGGTGTGAAAAGTTCTGGCTGCGTATTCTTGGATTCTTTACGCGGAATTGAATTCAAAATCCAACTGGAAATCCATCCTACTACGAAACTGATCAAACTTCCTAGTGGACAGTACCACATGTAGGAAATACGGTAGAGGTAGAAGTACGAGTCATTGTTATTTTGCCTGCAACAGAAAAGCCGTATAATTTATTACCTCTTAGAAATCAATTATGGTAAATTGTACTACGTGGAATAAGTATTAATTTTGCGATTAAGGAAAACGTTGGCGATTTGATGTGACAGGTGCAGACGTAGTTTAGCGTAAGTAAGTTGTGGTAAGAAGCACGATTTCGAAAAAGTGTTTCTAATAGATACTATTCTTTTGCATAGTACTGTAAATTTATCTTTCTCCAAATAACGTTAACAAATATTCTTAGAAATAATTCTATTTTTGTACAACTGCCGATTATTTTTATAAGTGTATCATCGATGAAATGTTGAATAAGAAAAATTGAAACGGCAAAATTGTATAAAATTATTTTATATACGTGCAAAGATATTTAATAGGGAAGAAATTTACGAGATCAGTGAACGATAAAAATATTCTTAACGATAACGATAATTCTGTAATACAATTAACGTTAATAACTAGACAGCAGATAGTTCAAAGGACAAACACGTGTACTTGTAACGAAAACGTACTGCAAGTGTACATAGAATATTCAAAATGAAATACTTACTTGCTCGTAATATCGAATACAGTTATATCTAATACAGTTATAATCTCGAATACTAATATGCAGATAGATATAAATAAATAGAAATACGAAATAGTTGGGAAAAAGTTTCTTTTAAAGGATACGACTTTCCATATATTATTTCCCACTACGCTAAACCTCGAAAAATATCTGAAATGATGAAAGCCAAGAAGCAGTTGCATGTATCAGAAAATGTGCGTAGAACGGAGACTGAAAATATGCGTAGTCAATGAATAGCAGGCGAATTCCTTACTGGTATTCGAAATGCAAATTCGACGATTTCTCGTAATCGTAATATGCATCGGCGTAGCTACAGTTTAAGGCGGTGACGTTCACTTTGTTTGGAATCGGTGGCTTTGGCTGACCGAAACCGATCCATAAAGAGAAAACGAGGCTAGTCAAGAGGCCGATGATGGCTCCTTTCTGATTTCCCAACCGCGTGAACATGCCCAAAGTGAACATGCCGAACACAGGACCACCGACCACGCCGAAAATCGTCAAAGCAGCCTGAAGAAGCCCGCCAAGAAATCGACCCATAAATGCCAATCCTATGCAAGCGATACCGACTATAAAAGCCAGAATCTTGCTGACTATGATCGATCCGGTTGCGGTAATCTCCTTGCCCCTGAAATAGTATTAATTGTTTCTATGCTGATGTAGTGGATCACATATATCGCACGTACGTACACGCGGGTTTGTTCGAGTGATCGGAATATCAAGAGACAAGTAACGATGTATTAACCCTTTGCACTCCTATGTCGAGTGTGACTCGACATCAGTTTTTATCTCAGGAGCTCCTTTGTCGAGTCCCACTCGACATTCTTTCAGTCCCACCTTTTTTTTGTGAAACGTGCGAAAGAAAATCAGGAATGCAACCTGGAAATTGTTTCAAGATATATCGTACACTTAAAAATTACAAAGTGCAACGATAGTGTGAATAAAGCTGGTATTTAAACGAATTTGTTTCTTCCTTTGTTTATTTAAATTGTCTTATTTCTTGGTTAAAGTAAATTTCAAATAAAACGTTTAAAAGCGTTGGGAGCTGCTGGCAAGCAAATTGAAATAAAATTCGGAGTGCAGAGGTTGAATTAGGGGAGATGAGTTAAGAGATTACGCGAGATCTTATGGTTTCCGCATAAATGCATAAATTAATGCGGTCTATTCATGACCAAATATATACAAATTCGCTTTTCCCGAAAACGTGCTGTTAAACGAAAAAAATACCATTTAATATTTTTAACTTATTTCCCAATATAGAATAAAGTTCTGTCAATTATCTGCTTCTGTCCTTGACAAAGCAATGCCCGTTCTCTAAAAGACGAAGCCTCCGATGCAACTTCGTCATTCTCGATTTTCACCTTATTCTGGGTCATTGAATCATCCTCTAAATACAGATTATCGTATATTACGACCGAAGGCATAGTAGATTCAGCTCGTTTCACGGTGTTATGAATCTTACCGAAAACGATATACGGGTTTGATAAAATCTTCGAGCATAACGGCGGCTAGGGAATTCACCGTGGCGGAGATGGTGCTGAGTCCAGCGCTGAAGATGCCGGCTATAAAAAGTCCTGGCACACCTGGATACTCGGAGAGCATGTCCATCACGTAAAGCGGCATTAATTGATCGTACGAGTTGATTCTTCCGGCCTGAAGGGGGTCGCAATCACGATACTTGGTATATATCGCCAAACCGGCAAAGCATAGGCCCAAAGACATCAGCGAAGACAATGGCCAACTCCACCAAATGGCAGTTTGCGCGTCCTTCACGTTTCTAAAAGCGAAAAATTCGGCCATAGCGATAATTTTATGAACGATTATCGTTAAACCGAATCAACAGCGTAGCGGACGAAGAACGATTTATCGAACGATCGCTACCGGCGGTATGCATGCGAGATGCGTAGCTCGGATAAAGTCTACAGGAAAATTCCTCCGTCTTTCTGTCGTGTCGTCACGCTACGAACAAGAGAATCGCGATAATGTGCCTCGAGATGAATACAATGCCATTGGAATTCGGATCGGGATACGCAATATTCGAGTTGTATAGAAGTTTCGTTCGTAGGTCGGTTCGTTGATTTATCGAACGTTAATTTACGATTGGACGAAAGAAAGAGGAAAGATCGATCGATTCGAAGATCGTGCATCGTTATTTGCTCGTTTTACGAGTTTTTGTTGCTGCTACGAAATGGATTAGCGGAACAGTAGGTTGAAGATTCTTGAATTACGTACAAACTTTACCGATCGATCTTAAACGAGGTTAATTCGAGTTTCTTCTAGTGATGCTATAAATGATATTGGCTATAATAATATATTTGATTATCTCATAAATATTTATTTGTAATATCTAATTAATTAATCCGTAATTGAAAAAAGGTAACGAGTTTATTAATATTTACTGAATTATATTTAAGATGAATTTAACATAGAAGCTGTGTTTGCGTTTGCATGTATTTATTGAAATAGCTCTCACGATGAAACTATTTGAAATAATAAAAATAGAACATCTACGTAAAAATTGAACTTGGTACGTTTTCCCCACGTAGTCTTCGTATCGTGTTACGTGTATCATTCAAAGCGCAAAAAAGTTAATTTTTTAACTCGCTAAATCTCAAAGGGATTATTCAGGAAAAATAGACGATTAAAAAATATTAATTTGTAAATATTCTAGCTACGAACAATCGTTATAAGCGATTTTAGTTATCTGTAATCGTTATCGATAGCGGAAACTATTTTTGATTGCAAATAATCATTGCCTATAAGCGATGAGAACACTTTTTTGTTACTGCTAATCATCATCGATGACGGAAATGTATTCCTCCGTTATCGACGGTGAAAATATATTTCGTTTATCGAAATAATACTACAAAAAGTGTTAACAAGATGAGAAAATAATTCACTTTACAATGTACTTATCTTATTACACAGCTGCACGACAATTTTTTCGTGTTCTTTTTCTCGATATATCGGTAAATTTTGAAATAGCCGAAGAAGCGCAGCGTTCTACGAACTCGTAAACGTCGAGATGGAATTCTTTATCGTCTTCCAACGTTTAGAAGCGTATCAACGAAGACGTCGCGTCGACTTACGGTAATTAATTATGGAATTCCGATGAACGTGTATAATTGACGGTATCGTGGGACACATACGCATTGTGTAGAAAGTCGGCAGCGGGTAGATACTCACTTGATGGTTAGCATTCTCTGAACTTGAACTTGGTTGGTGCCGTACAAGGAAAGGTAGGTGAAGAAACCTCCAAATGTCAAGCTCCACCAGGTGTGTCGCACCGTTGGGTCCATTGAAATGCTGAATGAATGCACATACCATTGTCAGTATCGATACCCGACTGGATTCCTCGTAAAATAAATGTTTCATGCCCGGCATGGTATTTGAAAGTGTGTTAAGTGCATCACGCTCGTGGCAATTTGCAATATATAATGCCAAAGAGAAAATCGATTTAACCAGTTGCTAGCGCACTGTTATACTCGTGTTATACAACATAACGGTTCGTATTATAACCACGGTTAAAGAATCATGCTCTGATTGTTTCACTGTTCTAAACGATACGTAAAGCGTAATAATATCGTAATATCTACCGAACACTGGTAGATTGAGATTTTAGTTGGCAATTCGCCGCAGCTCTTCCTATTTATTTAATAATGAGAATAAATTGTAATTTTCACGTTGAACGATGCACGCACGGACTTCTAGGTTCCATGAGACTGCATCGTAATTGAGTTTTGCAGACCGACCAGAACCATATACGTACTCACTTCTGCAAATACATTGTCGTCCGTAAGTAACATCGTACGAGACACTCGATACGAGTACCTACTCGCGATAAGCGTAAGTGGACGTTTTAATTATAAAATTAAATCGTTACTTATTAATCATGCGTATCATAACAAAAACTAAGTTATATCGTGTCTTATTCGAACTTAAAATTAGCAAGTGCTCCGTAAGTTACGCACGAGAATATACAGGGTGTTTGTCAAAAAATGATTTGTCATGTCTTTGAGAGGTGTTTCTGTAGCTTTGAATCGGTGCAGGTCCGTTGGAAGAAGCAATCGCGAAATTGACGTTGAGCATGATTTTCAAGGCCAAATTGTTTGCTTATCGCGACGTATAGCATTCGTTACGAGGAACAAAAGTCTCGAGGGAACCACCGGTCGGAAATTGGAAGAAAATGTTCAAGTTTTACCAGCCTACGCAATCACATTTGTAATTTGCTTGTACTTCGAACGCGAATGCAGAAGTCAGCTACATATTGGCCTGTTTAGCTATCGCAAAAAATATCAGAACTATCCCAGAAACTATAACAAACGCGCTATCGCTATGTTCTAATAGTACAACTTATTGCTTCTTAACTCTAATGCTTGAAAGAGCGAAGAATAGAAAGAAGTAAGAAAGCAAAATAAGAATAAAGTTATAAATATAACATCATACAAGCGTCACAATACAAATGTTATAACACACGAGTGTAAAAAGAATCCGATGTTGTACACGCCGTTAGTTCTAGCGATCTATGCATTCCTAGTACGAATATCGTCTGAAAAAATGGTACGTTCACCTATCGAATTCTATTCGCGACCCTTGACGAGCAATCTCCCATATCTGATCGAGACCTCCGACATTCACGGCTGCTGTAACGATCACCAAGATAACGGCTATCAGCATCAAAAGACTCTGAAATATGTCAGTAACGAGGACTGCCTTGATACCGCCTATCGTCGAATAAAACGTGCAGACTAATCCCATGCCGATTACGCTTGCAGTTGTCGAGATACCTGTGGTAGCTTCTAGAGCAAGCGCGGGTGCGTACAGCACTACACCGCTGTACAGAAGCAGCTGAAGTATAAAAGCGAAGCTTCCTGCCAGCCTCGCCGCTTTACCAAAACGTTTGTACAAATACTGAAAGCATAGGAAAATTTCTTTTTATTTTATTCGTGTCTTTTTTTATACGTTGTTCGATATATAATATTGTCATAACTGTGCTTCTATCGTATACGATACAATCTCGTTTATCCGAACAGGGAGACGAAACAGTTCGGATAACCGAGCAGTTCCGATTATTGTTTGAAACAACGTAGGATTCGTGTCAATTGTTCCTCTTTTGACGCATAGAATTTACTTTGCGAAAATACGTTTGACAAAATTACGTTCGATCGTAGTTGGAATAATAGAAACTGAGCTTCCAAATAAACGTAGCTCTACCGTACTATTTTTTAGTTTTACTTAGAACTATCTATATCTTATCGGTACTGTTTACAAACAATAAAAGTTTCACTATCGTTGACTACCACGAACCACTAATACTTCGCGTATCATTAAAATAAAATTGTCATACGTAACGATACTTTAGCGGTCTTGGTTCTTATCTTACAAAGTTATTCAATTGAAATTGAAATTGAATTTTTCTAGAAACTTACCTCAAAGGCGCTGGCATTGCCAAGTTTGAAAAATACCGGCATGTATAAGTAAGCGACGAAGGGAGTAGCAAGCCCGTAAGAAATGTTGATCACAGCGTACTGAGTACCATACACGTAATTTTCTGAGCTTACTCCCAACAAACTAACCGCAGATAGGTACGAAACCATTAAACCTATTGCGACTGGTGCCACTCCCATCGATCTGTCCGCCATGAAATACTCCTACCATATATATATATATATAAATAAATCTATGTATCTCATCTTAAGCGTGTCCCATATTATTTACACAAGAGTCGAAACAATTTTTACATGGAAGAATTATTGCACCTAAAGTAAATTTACCTCCGTTGATTTCTGTTTCCCTCCGGTGAGCCAGTAATACACACCAATTCCTGAACTAATGAGCATCGTAATTGCGATCACCGCGTAATCCGCAATTACCAGGGTAGCCATGTTTCGGTTCTGCGATATCGTCAAATTGAATTCGATGGAATGACTATGTGATGCTTGACGGCGATCCAATTGTCGGCAGTTTGTTCATCTGATATATCGTTCAGCCGGCACACGTTGCCTTCTCAATCATCGTTGGCTTCGACACATTTAGCGTCGATATCATTTGCATAACGATCGCAACAACAGACTCTCGCCATTTCGTCCTCTTAGTTTCTAAGATTAGCTGCTGTTTTCAATGCAAATACAAATTCATTGTAACACGATGAAAATTCTGCTTAGACAACAACAAACTCCGCGCGACAGTGTTAAACCTCGTAAACTCGAAACTCGGTTTCCTTAGTTTACAAAGCAGCGGAGATACAACAGATTGAAACTAGAGCGACGATTTGCCTACAGGTCGTACCAGGATTATTCTTTCTCTACTCTTACCGAATCTCCATGGACACCGACGAATCTCGTTGAATCCCTGTCTCCCTCTTTGGACTTTAATTTTGATGCTCATTGAAATTACCGTGGGATCATTTGTTCGTATTCTTCTTCGTCTGCGAGAATCGGCTGTTCGTATCCTTTGCACGAACTCATTCCTAACCTTCTGTAATAAGAATTTTACGTCGTTAGAAAATTTAGTTCCTTGTCTTAACCTGAGAAATGGAAATTGTGTAAGTTGTAAATAGGCTGCTTGGTGGCACTAGTACGCTAAAGTATTAGATCGTCTGAAAAGTTTCTTTCGTTTTATAGGGAAATAATGGATTTCTTTCACAACATTTTCCGTTTTATATTATTGTTTGTTTGTATTGTTATTCATGTTTGTATAAAGATGCGTCGTTATAAAAGATGTGTCTGTAAAAGAAAGACACTTTCCGGACAACCCAATAGTACAATATGTACATAACGCTGTGATAAATTCGGATAAAAACAGTTCTACATTCGGATAGGTCGGTTTCACACGAAGATACGCGCAGCGCGATACGCATATGATAGAAACTGATTATATGTACGGAGTTCGGAGATGGAAAGAAGTCTCGTGAGATGCAACAGGCAAAGAAGATACTGTTGCTCTGTGTCACTCATTATCACCCGATGTTATACTGTTTTACACGCGCGTAACTTCACGACTGTATCGAGTCTGCCAGAAACAACCAATCAGATTCGTATTCCTTCCAGAAGGCTTCTTTCGATCTTTGCGCATATCACGGATATAGGAATATTGAGATGAACCATTAAACTTCATGTGGCTCCACATTGGCACCTTCTGACAAAACTGCTAGAGCGCTGACGTGGCTCTGACCGATCTTTTGGCTCACTTTTACTTACGAACATGTACATGCTTTTCCTCGAAGAGAAAGAAAATTACGTACTTGCGCGATCACAACCAATCATCGATGTAGCCCCAAACGTATCTCTCACCCTTTCTGGAGATGGCTTCGCCACCCTCGGTTACCACGATTCGCGAATCTCTGTGTGAAACCAGATTTAGGCATAACGTGACGCTTTATAATTCATTTACGATTCAATAAATACATATACATGTATCTAAGTTATACAAGACGTGCCAGGGGGGGTACGATTAAGACATGCTGCATTTTCTATTTATTATCACACGTACATATCGTAATATCACTCGGTTGTTCCATGCATTCTATGTATGTGTGCTTCGTATAATATGTATGTATATCGTAGTACACGCATTTACACTTTTGACAGAAGGTTTTATTCTTGTTCGATGAAAAATATCGAAATTTATAACTCGCATGGCGTTATAGAGACAGTCAATTATAGAAAATATTCGCTAAACACGTTAAACATACCGTCACTGGTTTCGCTGTGTACCATCGAAGTTCGAATTAGCATATACATATGTCGGTAACTGTATATGTACGTGTATGTCACAATATCTGCAACATCACACAAGTAAATAAGAAAACTTCTCCGATAAAAAAATTTTTTCACTTTCTCTGATAAAAAATATTTTCACTTTCGACACGCAAATACCGCGTCGTGTCATTCGAGACTTTTCTCCGGATGACGTATGCTTGTCGACAATTATCCGCCAGTGTGGACGTAGCTTTTATACGCGAACTGTTCCTGCAGTTGAATTTTGTCTGCCACTGATCGGCTGCTTCACGTGTCCGCGGACAATTGCCTGTCAGTGTAGACTCGGCTGTTAATAAGATCGTCGAAGTCCGTCGACGACTAAATTGTTGGGAGAAACGGTTGAAGTATTCAGGATTAAGCGATAGATAAGAGAGATACGCGTGATAAAGCGAAGAGCAAAGATTCGATTTTTATCGGAGAGTTTCGGTTCTTCGACTGTAATTACTTAAGGAGTGCCTCATAAATAAAGATAAATAAAAACGCATTGCGTGATTATCGTTGAAACAGCCAACGATCTGTCTACCTGCTTTAAGAAAGGTATTAAAAGCATATTTTTAAAATACTTCACCTTGTCGTTTGCTACGGTCGTAAACTTCAAAATTGTCAAGCAGATACCACGTGTATCGTGATCACGACGTGGATTACGCTACATAAACAAGCGCATCGTCAAATTGAACTCGAAAATCTATCAACAGGAAATCATTTAGTCAACGGTATCTGTTATTAACGGTTTAACGAAAAGCAAGTAGAGTGAAGTTAGGGATAAACAATTCATAGGAAAACAAAAATCTGAATGTAAAAACAGCTAAATAATTAAGAATATATATAGTTACAGGTATACCTACTTATATAGAAGCTAATCATATCTTATCGTATTATTATTAATAATTCGTGTTATCGACGTGACTCTGTTATTAGGGTGTGCGGCCTTAAACTTTATTAATCAATTGGCAGAATTTTTCTTTTTCAACATTCTCCGACATATCCCGTTATTGGATTTTTCTTTACGCAAATTGCTGCTATAGATAGTTACGCTATAAAGATTACAGTTATAAAGTATACGGCAAATATTAAGCGAAAGACCATAGATATCGAATATCATATAGGTCTGTCAGAGTATTTACAATACTGGCGACAAGCATTTCCTGCATGCTATCATAGGATGCGTTGTTTGCACGACGAGCGCTTCTTGCAGAGCCACGGTTTATGAACGTTCGCAGCTATACAAAGCTACGCGTTCAACGCGCACGTACATACGCACTTCCGCGTTCCCTGTATCCTATCCGGGAGAGCGCGGGTGACTCTTACGATTATCGTCGAAATAAATTCAGTCGTAACCTATGGGTCTTCCTCTTTCTCTTCTTCTTTTGCTTCTTCGTAATTTTCCTTACCTATTCGCTTTACGTTCTCAATAGTATTATCTTATAACTAGCGCATACGCTGTCACGGACGCACAGTTATAGGCAGAATTCACCGTGGTAATGCGTTTTTTGCGAATGTCTTGGAAATTAAATCTGCTTTAATTAATTACTGTCTGGCGCCTTGGCTCGAGCCTGCCTTTACATTTTCCATTCGTCGCCACTCGTCGATTATGCAAAATAACGAAAGATGCTTCGAACGAATGTTATTCAGTTTTCTAAGAACTGTCCTAACAAACGGGAATTAATACGACATTGCGTCAAAGAGAACGAGAGCCGCCCTCTTGCATCCCTTTATAGTCGTGACAGAAAAATTCCTCGCGCTTCGTAGCGATCAATCTCCTTGTACCGTTAAAACGTAGAAAAGAATTAGTCGATGTCTGTTACAGTTTGCAGGAAAACGGTATCTAACAGTTCAGGCGGGCCACTCTGTGTTACAACTCATTTGTGCACACGCGTATAATCGTAACTCAACACGCATACGCATCAAACGTTCTTCGCGTTCCAATAGTTAGGATACCGCTGGAATAATTCTCGCTTGATTTTAACATACGAGTCAGCTGTCACATAGATCGCATTATCATTGGCGATAGTCGTGACAGAACACTTGGCTATTTCGGCAGATATTCATTGCACGACGGTATTTTATTGGTCATGGCCGACCGCGTCGACGGTGTGCGTTTCTCGCGCGCATTCTTTGTCGCGTCAGAGGCTTCAGTGTCGCGGATCTACCTGCGGTTGGAACGGGGCAATCCGTAGCCGCGATTCCTGTCACGACAATAATAAATTTTCCGTATCAAGCCGTCGCTAAGTAGAAATTATTTTGCAATTAAGAACAGGTTGTTCCACGGATCAAATCGATTACGATCTAATCATCCGTCGTTGCCGTAGCCGCTGCAATTTGCCGTTGAGATTTATTCATAAAACCGTCGATTTATTCGCAAATACGTAAGAGAAGCATTCCAGCGCGACTTAACGAGAATGCTAAACCGCAAGGGCAGGAGATCAGGGACTTTACTGGAATGCGCGGCGAACTGCATGCACGCATGATGCATTCATCGAGCCGTGGGTGGAAGGAGAACGAGAGAGAGAGAGAGCGAGAGAGCGAGAGAGAGATGACGAGGGAAGAAAGACGGAAGCGCGTAGGACGAATACAGTCGATGCATCTTTTAACGGATTGACTGCTGGCTGAATTTTACGTATCTCATCTACTATGCCAGATAACGTTTATCTTAAACTTTAAAATGAAATTATTTGTAACATCAGGTAGATCGATTAAGCGAAAGCGATTCGTTAACGAAAAGTGGCAGAATTATTATTTCTACCAATGGATATGATTATTGGGTTGTTGCTTCAAGAACGTACGCGAATGTTTCGTTACGTTTAAAATAATAGCAACTTTTTTTTTTAAGGAAAAGATGGAAAAGACATATACGGAACTGGTATTAAACGTATTAAACGAGATTATACCAACACTTTGATACTCTTATAGTTAAATGCCCTCTACATACTCTACATATATCATTGTTGTAGCATGAACGATATTGAAAATGTTGTAAATAATACTGTTGGTGCATCACAGGTAATGAGTAAGGCTATGGTTTCAGTGGATGCGTGCTTCGACGAATGAAACACGTGAAGAAAGAAATGCATGCAACGTAAGTACTTATTCTCATAAGAATCTTGTATACTTCATTGTTTTGACGTCATCCATTAGAACGTTAGTTCATGAAAAACACCGTACCCGAGCTAATCCATTGTAACCATGGCCTAATCCTAACAGCATGTATGTGTTCGTTAATGCTCTCCACGGCAAGTCCTTTACGCTATTTTGTCCTCCACCTATGCGTTATCGTTATGAGACAAAAAGAATTTAGGAAAAGATGAGCAAAGCGCGCGCGTGTATAGCAAAGTATTAAAGTAGAGCGCGAGCAACTTTCTAAGCTGATTAAACAACACTGTTTGAATCAACGATCAACGTTCGAGTGGACGACTACTTTCGATCGTTTTCCTGTCTGTTTCGTGTTTATCTCTCGTTGTGTTGCTCGATAGTTTCGTTTTACAAAGACAGCGAAAGATGAACGTGTAGAAGCAGGAAGAGGAAAAGTTGGGAAAGCCACATTCCTCTCGTAACGTACGTGTAATTATCTAGCTTATAGAGTTTCGAATGACATAAGAGATGTACTGGTTCTCGTTCTTCAGACGCTAACAGCGATATCGTTAAATGCTTTTAAATTAAATCATTCGTTAGATTAGTTCCATCTCGATATAGATGAGCGAGTTTCTCGTGCATTTCGATCTACCATATGTAGAACTTTATTTATCCGAATCTAGATACGTTAGAAAATATCGAGCCATTTCGTACAGTTGAAATTAACACTGTCTGTATGTATTAGCGAGACGTTACAAATCGCAAATCACAAGTTACAAGTTAAGAAGCAGCGTCGAAAAACATCATTGCGTGACTTTAACGAGTTTGGTAACGAAATAAATAAAATTTTACAAGTTATATATTATCTAATTACCTTATTTGACGGGAAATTATGAAATCGTAGAACGGAGATTTACAACGTACAACTTGTAACTTATCGATTTACCTATTAATAAATAACGTTAGCAAACGACAAGTTACAAATTGACACGGATCATATATTTCTATTTTAGAATGTTACAGACTCACGCGAAACGGGATAATCAGTCGACTTGTAATTTGGCAAGTTTACATGTTTACAAGTCGCTAATTACATGTCGTTAGTATCTATTCATGAATTCTAGCGTAGGTATTATAATAACAAGTTTGATAATAAACCAAATGAAACGTTGACGTAAATTATACGTATTGAATGCTGATTATTCTATTCGACGTAAGATTGTAAGATTGTCACAAACAAGTCTGTAACCTGTACCTTGTAACTAGTCAATTCTAATATACTACTAATTAGTAAATTATTGGGTGAAACTTCGACTCGGGCCACCACTGTTTTTTAAACTTCTTTTTTCCATTTTCTGATTACTATCATATATACAGGGTGGATGGTAACTGGTGGTACAAGCGGAAAGGGGCTGATTCTACGCGAAAAAAGAAGTCGAAAATATAGAATACAAATTTTTCGTTCGAGGCTTTGTTTTCGATAGATCGTTGTCTCGATGGAAAAATAAAAAAAAACATTTTTATTCTGTATTTTCACCCCATTTCCGCTTGTACCACCAGTTACCAACCACCCTGTATACATCGGAGATGAAAGGAAACCTTTTCTTTGAAATTTAGCCTAGATTCTATCATAGCCGTAATTATGCAATTGTTGTCATTCAATCTGATTGTAATTGTTCGAGATTTGTGATAGTGAAATTGGGCTGGAGGCGACACAACTGGTCGCCGAACGTAGCCACAGTCACGGGGTGGGCGTTTTGCCTGACGGAGCTGTGGAGTGGTTGTATGGTTCTCCCTAGAAACGTGGTTGTTGCGGCATACGGCTTCAAGAATGGGCCTAGCCACGTGTGATTTTACCTCGGAGGTGGCAATATAATGGGACACACGTTGTATTAATAATCAAACTCCAGGCAGAAACTGCCCAGTAACGGCGATTGGAACTTTCTCGGTGCTTCTAACGAGTATTTGACAAACGAACGCAATTGTAAAGAGAGGACAATTTTCATCAGTCTGTTATTCGTGCGATCGCCTTGGAAAATTACACATCGTGCAGTTTATACCGAGCGTCCCAGCAATCGTATTTTGTGCTTAAAAGTATTCGTGGTAAAGTAAAAGTGGATTCGTTATCGAACCCAAGAACGTTATCAATTGCATCTTGCGTGTCTAAACACCACGGCTGTTCGTTAAACTTTGTAAAAGTCATTTTTCGTACCTGTAAATATAATCTCTGTTGTACAAAACGATGGCTAATTCAAACGAAGAAT